TGAACGAGAATTCAGATGTAATTTTTCTTCATGCAACCAGCCAACTGCAGTGTCCATTCTTAGCAACCGATCTTTCGGGACTCAGACAAGACATGGTCCTTTCAACCTTGAAGCACATAAACCCTGTTCCTGCTTTTCAGAGTTCTTCTGCCTTCTTAAGAACATTATGTGTTCAAGGAATTCACACAATGAAGCTTTTGTCTGGTGGCAACAATTACATTGGATGTGTTTGGAATGAACTCAACCTCATCGCTGAAGAAAAGAGCAGGGCAGAGACTGACCATCCATGGTTCATCAAATAATGTTTGACCCTTGTTTTGCACAACTCTGCACCAGGTAGTCCTTGACTTACAACCATTCGTTGAGTGACTGTTCGATGTTAATGGTGCTGAAAAAAATGACTTTGCAACCGGTTCTCACACTTAGCAGCCTCACAGTCACATGATCCAAATTTAGGTGCTTGACAACTGACATCTATTGACAATTGCAGTCCCAGGGTCACGTCATCACCATCTGTGACTTCTCCTTAGTTCTAGATTGCTTCTCTCCTTGATGAGCTTCCATCTATCTATTCTTAAGATTCCTCCTAACATTGGATCTTTAGATGTTGAAGGATTTCCAGGATTCCCAGGCCCATGGCCCATTGGTTGGAAGGAATAAGCAATATGGCTCAACATTTGTGAAGTAGCATACCGGTAGTCTTCAACTTACAATTCTTTGTTCAGCAACCGTTCAAAAGTTACGACCACACTGAAAAAAAGTGACAAGTCCTCGTACTTATGAGCCTGTTACAGTGTCCCTGCTGTCATGTGATCCAAATTCGGGTGCTTGGAAGTAGACATGTACTTTACAATAGTTGCCGCATCCCAGGGCCAGGTGATGGCCATTTGCCAGCTTCAGAGAAGCAAAGTCAATGTGAGAAACCAGCCATGGGATTCGCTTAAGAACTGCAGTGATTCACTTAACAACTGTGGCAAAAAAGGTTACAAAAATTGGGTGCGACTCACTTAACAATCACCTTGGTTAACAATGAAAATCCTGATCACGACGGTGGTCATAAATCAAGGCCTACCTGTATTTTCACAGGCTACTCATCTGACGAATTTAAAACAATGTTTCTCAACCTTGGCAACTTTAAGATGTATGGACTTCAACTCCCAGAATTCTGTACAATGCCAACTGGTGCCAGAAATGTTGGACAATAGAGTCATAAATTTACCTGCTCTGTTCCAAGATAAAGAGACTCACAATTTGAAATAATAAGCGTAACCATCCTCAATCTGTTAGTCCAGTGTTTCTCAATGCTGGCTGTGGAATTCTGGGAGTTGAAGTCCACATGCCTTAAAATTGTCAAGATTGAGAAACACTGTGTTAGGCCAATGTTTCTCAATCTCAGCAACTTTAAGACATGTGGACTTCAACTCCCAGAATGCCCCAGCCAGCAAGGAGTTGAAGTCCACATGCCTTAAAGTGGTTGAGGTTGAGAAACACTATTTAGGCCAGGGGTCTTCAAACTTGGTCCTTTTATGACTTGTGGACTTCAACTCCCAGAATTCCTCAGCCAGTGATGCACATAAACAACACACAAAACAAGGAACACACCATGCAAGGGAAAAGCTGATGTCACCTTGATGATTAATCTCAAAATGTTTTTCAAGCATATGATTTACAATATGTGAAGTTAAGGTTTATAGGTTATCCAGGGATATTAACATTACAGCACAATACTTTTTAGTATGTGGAAGGTACCAGGTGTTTTGTTTTTAATTTCCCGTGGAAGTTATACATTTGTTTTGCCCTTTGCATTATACATTTCCTTTCAGAAGCCAAACACCCCTCTCTAGAATGTTGTATAAACCAGGCCTACGTTGGTTGCTTTATTCCCCATTTTCTTTCAATCCAATTAAGCAATTGGTTTTAATTGATGTGCGCATTTCAAAGCTGCACAGAAGGAACTTGCAACCAGAAACTGTTTTTTGGATTGCATTAGTCTGCTCATTTGCTTTAATATGCAGATGTTACTGATTCCTCCAGCTGCACATTTTTATAAGAAATCAGTTGAATAATCATATTAAGTAAAATTGATTAAAGCTTATTTGCTCTGCATTAATTCTACATAGGCATTTAAAAAAAAAAAAAAAGCATTTCTGCTTTGTGTCAGCCATTATGCCAGGACAGGAATTCCTGCTTCTCTGTGTCATTTTTGAATGCAATTATTTTGTTAGAATTTTATAATAATTTTTTGGGGTAAGAATTTGATTTGCTGGTCAATTAATATGTCACTCTATTGGTGTTAATTTTTTTTTAATCTAGCAGCCAACTTAGGTGACTTGTTTGGAGGGTTAATAAAGGATTGTGTCACAAAATCCTGCTCTCAGTTGTGTTGTAACTGTTATGTCAGGTTGGGAAGATCTCTGTTTATCAAGACACCTTGCTCTGAGTATTGCTGATAACCAGGAACTTGTTAAACTTTCACCCATTCCTGTTTTTTTTCCCCCAAAAGCTCCAGGCAAGATTTACTAGCCTCTGGATTTAAATCTCTTGAGCTTAGATGGGCTGGGGGCAGTGGGGGAATAAAAGGGTCACTGAATACCTGAAAGCAAAGCATAGCCTCCTCGTGGCTTGGGATTTGGATCAGGTATGAGCAGCACCATACGCAAACGGGGTCAAGGTATTGCTATGGATGCGTTCACAACTGCAGGTTGCATTCACACCTACAGTTGAGTTTTAATCTTGGTTCCCGCCCTCGGGGAACGCCATCAAATAGATTCTGGGTTCAACGCATCAGGCCAGGCAGGGAGGGAGCAGTTACCGGCCTCAGAACCACCGCCAAACCAGTGGAGTTCACACGACACGTGAACCCGCGCTGGCTGCGCACAAGGCGCCGGTCGGGCTGGCTCGACGTCTCGGGCTCTCCCGTCCCCGCGAGCCGGTCCACCCCCCCAACGTGCCAAACCGGTCTCGGAACCTCCGCATTCCGGCGGAGCGGGTTGTTGCGCGGCCCGGCTCTGCCCAGCCGGCGTGCCCGGACTCGCGCCGCTTGCCAAAGGAGCCGCCGTGCAGGCGCGCTCGGCTCCCGCGCCCCGGAGGCTCCGTTCCCCGGCGCCCGCCCGCCCGTCCCGGCTCCTGCTCTTTGCCCGGGCTCGGGGGGGGGAGCCCGCAGACCCGGGGGCCGCCTCTTCGCCCCCCCTCCTCTCTATTTTTATTTCGCTATTTTCCCCCTGCTGCTGCTGCTGCGCCTCCTGCTAGCGAGCGTTGCCCCCCTTGACAGCGCCAAAGCCCCCCGTCCCCCTCGCGCCGCTCCAGCAGAAGCCGGGAGAGCCCGCCGTCCCGGGGAGCCTGGGCAGCCCAGCCGCTCGGGCAGCCCGACTAAGGACGCCCCCGGAGCGCGAGGCCGGCCCGCCAGCCGCGGGAGGAAGAGGCGGCCAGGCACCGGCCGCGCGGCGCGGCTCCTTCCGCAGCAGCAGCAGGAGGAGGAGGAGGCGGCGGCGGCGGCTCTGCGCCCAGGCCAGCCTGCAAGCCGGGGGAGGAGGAGGAGGAGGCGGAGGAGGCGCCGAGGAAGCCGCCGCCGCCACCGCCGCCCTCCCTCCTTCCCTTCCTCTCTCTGCCCAGCCCGGCCTCGAGCAGAGGGTCGCGCCGCTTTGTTCCCGCAGCCGCCCCGCGTGCATCTGCAGCAGCAGCCGCAGCCGCAGCGGGAGCCGGAGCCGGGCCGCGCTCCTCCCCTGCCCGGAGAGCCCGCGGCTGAGCGCTAGCGGGAATCCGCCTCCGCCTCGCCGATTTCGCTTCGGGCAGCGGGAGAGGCCGGCCGGCCGGGAGGGAGGGAAGGAGGGAAGGAAGGAAGGCGGGAGGGAGGGCGGCAGCAGCCGGGCCCTGCCCTCGCGCGGCTCCCCTCGGTGTCGTTTCCGCCCCTCGCATGGCAGCAGCGCGGCGCCCGCCGAGTGGCAGCCGGGGACGCGGCGGCCGGTGAGGCTCCCTCGGGGCGGCCTGCGCAGCGAGCCTGGGAAAAGGGGAGGAGGAGGAGGAGGCGGAGGAGGCGAGGCGAGGAGCGCCGAGGGGGCGGCGCGGGGGAAGCCTGCCTGCCCTCCCGCCCTCCCGCCTCCATTCATCGCGGCTCCGGATTTTGCCTCTCGCCCGCCGAAGGAAGCGCCAAGGAGGGACGAAGCGGCGGCCGCGGCGGCGCAATTGCGCGATCGCCGCTTTCGCAGGCAGCCTCGGGAGGGCTCCGGCCAGAAGCCCGGGCGGCTCTCGGGGGGGAAGCGCCGTTTCCGCTCTCGGAGCCGGGGGATTAAAGCCAGCGGGGCTGCGTGGCTTCTCCGCCTGGGTGCCCGGCCAGGGCCGATTCCGGTCCGCGGACTCTCGGCGGGCCGAGCGAGACGGGCGGGCGGGCGCAGGACCGGCGCGCGCCCCCCATCCGCCCTCCGCCTCGCCGACCCCTCCCCGGCCCGCCAGCCCGCCCTGCCTCGGGGGGGACTTTGCTAGAGGAAGCGGGGCCGGGAAGCCAAGCCAACATGGAGGTCGAAGATGCGGATTGCTGGCTGCGGCGCCTTCCGTGCGGGCTCCTGCTGGATGAGAGCAGGCGAGGCTGAGCTGCTCTGCCCGGCCTCCCGTCGTAGCTGGAGAAGCAGGAGGCGGCGGCGGCGGCGGCGGCTCGGGAGCCTCCTTGGCCAGCCCCGAACCAGGCCCGGACCTTCCCCCCCCCGTTCCGGTGCCCCCCCCGGTGGGCCGAGAATTTCCCTTCGGAACCGAGCAGCCTCTCCGGAGAAGCGCTCCAGGCCCCCCCCCGGACGCCTCCCTCCCTCCTCCCTCCCTTTTACAACCCCCCCCCCGGCGGGTGGGCTTGTTTTCTTTTTTCCTGTTTTGCGAGGGGAGGGGTTTAAAAAGCTGCCCCCCCTCCCCAGGGATTTGGATTTGCTTGTCCCGGGAAAGGGGCGAAGAGCGAGGACTCCAATTGCGGGGAATCTATTTTTTTTTTATTTTTTTTTTATTTTTGCAAAGGCCGTTTTGCTCCCAATTACGACCCGCCAAACAGAGGAATGAAGTCTGGCGTCGGAGGGGGGTCCCTGGCCTTGGTGAGGGGGCTCCTGCTTCTCTGCACCGCGCTTTGCCTGCGGCCAGCAAATGGAAAAAGTGAGTATTGGCCGGGGGGGGGCGAGGGGGGGAGAGAGATGGCCCGTCCGGGCTTTAGTTTGGGAAGGGGGGGGCGCAGGGCCAGCGGCGCCTTCCTGCACAGGCCGCGGGGATGGGGAGCCCAAACCAGGCGGGGTCTCTTTCTTGGAACCCGGTCCCCCAAAACGCGCCTGGAGCCCTGGCCTTTCCCCCTCGGCCGGCGGCGTCCGGGGGACTCGGGAGAGAGGAGGGGTCGCTTTCCCCTTTTAGCGGACCGGCTGCTCTCCATTCCCGGCCTCGCCAAGCTTTTTTTGGGGAGGGCTCCTTCCCACGACCCCCGGGGAAAGATTCCTGGCTCAGCCGGCCCCGGGCGGAGAGGAGGGGAGGGTCTGGCCCCGCCGCCCCCTCGAGCAGCCCGGAGGGGGACCGCCAGGCGACCCAGCCGGCCTCCCGCGCAAGGCAACCGGCTCGGCTTTCCCCGCTTCCCGGGGGCGGCTTGGAGACGCCCGGCGAGCCAGCCGTTGCGTAAACAAGCCGAGCGCGCCGGCACCTGGAGCGCTGCACCCGGCGGCGGCGGCGGGCGACTCTTGGAGACCCTAGCCGCCGGCAGCCAAGCCGGGCCAGGCTTTCGCGAGCCCCCCCCTCCTTGCTTTCTTTTTTTAAGGGGGGGGGTCTCGTGTGTCGAATAGGGCAAGTTGCAGGCGAGCAAGTGAGGCGCTTGGGTGGCGGGGAGCGCGCGTCCGAGCAGCCCAAGCGGGAAGCCTCTTTTGCGGACAAAGATTTGTGTGTATGTGTGTGTGTGTGTGTGGGGGGGGGCTGTTGAACCTCAATGGGCCCTAAATGCTGGGGTGGTGGTGGAAGGAATTGTATTCCCCCCCCTCACACTTTGCTTCCTTCTGCACAACAGATTAAAGGCGGGAGAAAGGAAGACTGTTTTTATATAACTCTGGTTTGTTTATACGCAGAGGTATATAAGTTGCAATTAAAATGTTACTCAGTGAATACTCCTCGTCCAAGCTGCGGGGCTGGTGAGAGTAGGAAGGCGATGGGTGCCTCTTTGTCCTCCTCTCCTTCCCCCCACTGAAATGTTTTGGTGGGTTTTTTTTCTTTTTTGAAAGACAAAGAGGGGGCGGTGGAGGGGGAGAGAGAATTGGGCTGGGCCCTGCTTGGTGCAATTCCTGAAGCTCGACCCCTAGACAGCTGGTGGCTTCATGCTTGAGCAGAAGGTGTGGGAGAGAAAAAATCCTGCATGACCTCCGTGTAAAAGGAGGAGGGGGAGAGAACTTTCTTTGGTGGTTTGTGAATCAGTCAAATGGGTGGAGAAAGTGACACCCTCCAGATTGTTGTTAGTGGTGGGGTTGTGGTGCCCTTCCCCTTGGCGCTGGTATGGAGGAAGGAGAACTTACTACCCCTTAGATTCAATAACAGGGTCAGTGTGTTAGCGCGGCTTGTTGGGTTGTGCACATTTGGTCTTTTTGGGAGGTCTAAGCTCAGTTTGGGCAAGTGTTTGACCTTAGGGACAGTGCCTGGATGACTGTTTTGAGATGACAAGGTCAAAACGTGAGTCATAGATCACACTTCTAAAATAGGGTTGTTCCACCTCATCTTCCCAACGCTTTCTTCCCCCTGTGTTTTTCTCAGTTTAATCTTTGACTGCACGTAAGGATTTAGGCCAGGCCCCAAAAAGAAAAAAAAAAAAAAGCTGCAAAACTTTAATCCGTTTAGTGTTGGAGTAAAATGAGAAGTAGGCAAGTAAACAAACATGAGTGCAGAAAAATCGTGACTGCATCTGCTTGATTTCTGCATCTAAACACCGCGTTCAAGCTTTGATGATTAAAAAAAGATTATCCTGTTAGGTGTAGTTCTTTTTAAAGTACAGGATGAGCATTAAAAATGGCATTTTGTTTGCTGTTGTTATTGATCTGGTTATCCACTGTTTTCCTAACAATGGCATTGCCAGCAGGGGAGAAAAAAACAGGATTTAGATGACTGTATTAAAATATTCATTAATCTGTAAAAGAAATCTTAATAAGCAGAGTGGATTGTTGTGGGATGAATATGTGCGTACAACGGATAAGAAGAATGAAAACACACATTGGCTGGCTGATTTGTTTTGTGGCTTTAAGAAAAAAACAATCTCTTGAAAGGAGGACCCCCCCCACCCCCACCCAAGTGCACTGCTCTCCTCCTTATAACACAAGGAACATCTAGTCTTAGTTTTATGTGTGTGTAGTTTTTTTTTTTTAATACATAGAATGTGTCATAGCTAAACTCGCTCTTCCATTTTCGGTCATAAGAAGTCATGCATTCCTAAATAGGAATATACAAGAGTTGGAACCAAAATAATATGGAAAGGCTGTCTCTGTGATCTTCAATTAATATAGTTTTGAAATCTAAGGTATGATTGGTAGGTAAAATAGTAATTAAGATGTCAGGGATAGAGGAGGGGAATCTGGCTTGGCCCCTTACAGGAGAGGCATCACCAATTCATCGTAGGTTTGACCTGGTTTGCTTTTATAGGCCTTCAAGAAAATTCTTAAAATTCGCTGACTTGGTTTTGACCCTCCCTCATAATTTGGGGCTGTGGGTTGTACATGCTGTTGTCAGATGTCATTTTTTGTTTGCTTCCTTTGCCTGGGCAGGCAGCAGTGTTTACTGCCGAAAATGATTCTCAATAAAATAATAATAAAGCTTGTTCTGCTGGGGTGTTTGAGGAGTAGTGTCGTTTGTGGAATCAAATGCAAAACACAGTTTTTTGCACGAGGGTGGGTTTCCTTTGCCCTCTAGAGAGCAGTTTTTATGTGTGCTCGTTGCTGTAGAAATTCTTCCTCTGCCCTGATGAATTTACCAGCATTTTAAGCCAATCTTCTCCCTTGTTTTATTGAGTGGTGTGACTTGTAAGTGGGGAAGCTAATTCAGTTGTGGTTTTGTGACCTAAAATTGTGTTATTTTAATAGAGTGTGTTTCAGCTCTTCCGCGTTAGATCTCTATAGCTTGGACACTTAGTAAAACCCTTAAAGCTGTAATTGTGTGTGCATGTGTATAGTATCAACATCAATATCTCTTAATGCGCTTGCTGATAAAGCAAATATGGTTAGTCTGAGTGAGCCAATCGGGTAAATTCCCTGCGTAATTTAGATACTGGAGTATAAAATGGTTTGACACTAAAGGGATTGTTTGCTTTTCTGGAATCTAATTGATAGAGGGACGGGAGATTTCTTTGGAAAAGTGCTGAAGACACTTTGCCAAAAGATACAAAAAGCAATAAATTCTCTTTCCTAGGAAATCAGGCCTGTGGTCTTTTGTTTGCAAACTAATGATATTTGGGTTTAACCTTGGAAACTGCAAAGTGTTTTTAGTACCTTAGGACAACTGTTTGTTTTGTTGTGGATGCTGGTTAAGAAACAAGCATGGAGGATAGCTGTGATTAAATTTTAAGAGCAAATATTATTGGCAAGCAATTAATGGGTGCCTTTATCCCAGCCTACAGTGCAAAAACACCCTTAAGAATCTGCTCCAGACATTATAGTGCAAAAGAATACAAGCAAATGAATGTATGAGAAGATGTAGTAAACCATCTCGTATTAGATACAGCAGCTGGTAAGGCATGAAGGAATTGGCACTAAGAATTTAGTCCCCACCAGGCCTGTGGACTTCTGGAAATTGAAGTTAAGAATTTGAGAATTTTCTGCATGTTCATATCACAGTAATAGCCACATCTACATAATTCTAAAACTCTTGTATCTTTAACTTTTAACTGGGTGAAATGGTGCGTCATAGGGCAACAATTTTTCAACCACAGTACCTCAAATGGAGCAATTTACAGAAGGCATCTAAAATCCAAGATTCCCCTAGAATAAAAAAAATTGGCAAATTTTATAAAATATGACACAAAATTATCATAAGATATCACGACATTACTAAAAATATTTTAATAAAATATTTTTTGTGCAAGTCCCCCTATTTGATTGTACTTTACAATTCACCATGGTCTGCTTTTGAGGCAAATGCATCTCTGAATATCTCTTGGAATTTTAAAGAATTTTTCAAGTAGATTAGGAGCTCTGCCAATGTTGGAGGCTTTGAGGAATCTGGTAAGGAAATATCTCTGAAGTGAAAACCCAATGGGTCAGAATAACAGAGTTGGAAGGGACCTTGGAGGTCTTCTAGTCCAACCCCCCTGCTTCGGTTGCTGGCATGCCGCGGCCTGGTACCGGTCCATGGACCGGGGGTTGGGGATCCCTGGGTTAAATTCATAGGTGAACTTAATTTTTTAAAAAATAAAATATTCTCCCACTTTTCCCACTTAAAAGCACTGAAAGCAGCTTTAAGTAGATTTGTGGTTTATTCATAAATGGCTGCGATTGTTGACTTAATCCATGGTTAACATGATCACGGTTTATGAAATCGATCCAGGAAGTTTCATTATTATTATCTATGCTACTTGGATAATACAGGTAGTCCTTGAGTTACAATCATTCATTTAGTGACTGTTCGATGATACAACAGTACTGAAAAAAGTGCTAATGAACGTTTTTCACACTTAAGACCATTGCAGCATCCCCATGATCATGTGATCAAAATTCAGACACTTGGCAACTGACTCATATTTATGACCATTATAGTGTCCCTGGGTCATGTGACCCCTTTTTGTGATCTTCTGACAAGCAAAGTGAATTGGGAAGCCAGATTCACTTAACTGTATTAACTAACTTAACTGCAGTGCTTCACTTAACAAATATGGCAAGAAAGTTCATTAAATGAGGCAAAAGTCACTTAACAAATGTCTCACTTAGCAACAAAAATTTTGGGCTCAATTGTGGTTGTCAGTCAAGGACTACCTGTACTTAACTCTTTCCGAACCATGGAGCATCCTAAGATGCTTAGCCAGGTTATAATAAAATCCAGATATGTACAAAATCAGCAACTCGGACTCTGATTACTACGCAGAGCATGAAAATACTGGTTTCATCATCAAGGTTATAAATACTGAGAGCTGGAATGTTCTTCACTATTTCATC